TCTCGCCTGAAATACTTTTAAAACTACATTTCATGACACAATAACAGTAATATTTAGAAAATTATCCGAATAAATGGTGGTTGAAATACAATGCTGCATGAACTCAACCAATCAGCGTGTTTAGTGCCCAAGTCCCGCCCCCGAAAGTTCCGGACCTTTGAAAAAGTACTACCTTGCGAGCAGGGACTTTCTGAGGGGCAATTTTTTACCTGGAACTTTATTTAGATCCTGGTTCCTGCGTTGGAAACACACCGAGTACCGGCCCAAACCCTGCGTTCCATTCGGAAGGGCTCATCCCTACGCCCTAATCCCTTCACAGGGTTTACCCTCCGGAGTGAGCGCTTCGAAGGGTTGAAGGGTGTAGGGGACCAAACAGTTGTTTCTTGAAGTGCCCTTCTGCGTCATCACGGAGGCGCCGTCATCATGCAAATAATCTGCGCAAAGGATCATGGGAGCCCGAAGTGTCCATCAGTTGTACCCTTCGAAATCCTTCATTCCGAAGGGCCCTTTGAAGTGGCCAGTTTTGAGCACTTCGGTTTGGAACGACCCTTCAATATGGCGTCCATGATTGTTTTCACTCTGAAGTGCCCTTCGGAGGGTGATATATCCCATTTGGAATGCACCGCAAGTCCCTAGTTCCTGGGTAAAGTTCCTGCGGTGTAAACGGGGCTATATTTGTTGCTTGCCGCTATTTTTTATTCAATTTATAATTTCCTGAAAAAGTCTGAAATGTTAAAGAGCCACTGTTCTCCAGCAATCTACCATGAATAGATTGGGATTTGGGACGCAGCCATTTAAAGCAGGAAGTTGAAACTAATGTTTGGCCCTTGGTTCTTTGCAGTGGTCCAACTCCTCCTCAAGAAACCTCAGAGCGGCCAAGGACATGCAGAACTACAGACACGGATATCCAGTAAGAGTCTGCCATTCTCCTAAAATAAACTAAATAGTGCACTCTGAATTCGTTACAAAAACCCCTGACGTGCTGATATGATCTTCTATCATCTCGCTGTAGAACATCAATGAAGAGGAATGTCCAGAAGAAAGAATGACGAATTTAAAATTCTATCTCAATGAAATTAAATCGTCGCCTGATGGTACGTCTCCGCTTTCTCTTGAGCTGCAATAGCAAGTCCCGAGTTGAGGTGTATTGCACTTGTTTTCCTGTTGGCTTTGTTTTTGAGCTCTTGTCATGTTTCTTGTGGTCCTCAGATGTGTCGATTGAGACATTTCACACCGAGTGGAGAACTGATTACAAAAGACTGGAGAGAGTTCACTCCTACATTCAGTGGTAAGAAACGCGGCTCCTCATGATAATTGGTTTGCCCTGTGAGGGATTGTGACAGTCTGTCCAAGTCTCCTTTTGACTAGGTTTTGTTAAGCAGATGAGATGCTTTGGATTAGGGCTGTAACGCTACACAAACACGACGGATCGGAACAGCAGGGGGAAAAACTAAACATAATATTCCTTTTTTATTATTATTATTATTATTATTATTTAACAGTGGTTTACTGAACAAATTGCTATTTCTTGAAATAAATTCAATTATAATAAAAATGTTCTTAGGGATTAAAATCTACCTCAGCTTCTGCTCTAAACTACAGTGAGCCCTTTCACATTACTATAAGGTTACAGTTAACAACAGAGCCCCAACTTAAATTCAATTACTATTTATTTTTAACTATAATAATCAACACTCAACTTAAAAAAATTGCATGTAAATTGCACATAATGCAGTTTTTAAATTAACTTCTAAATTATAAAATTTCTATTTGTTGTTGAAATACATTCATTTACACAGTGGCTGCCATAACTGGTTTCATAACAGATTTATTTAAACATACATTAAATAATTTAAACATCACGAACAGGTAAAGTAAAATATAATGAGTTTATAGTCTAGTATTTGGTGAAATGCTGTTCTCTAGACTTGATTTTTCTAGTAAAAACGAGCTGTGACACTGATGACTTGCCTGAGGTAAATGAAATGCTACGTGATGTTGTTTACAAGCTGTTTTATTGACGTCTTTCCGCGGTTGAAACACTGATTGAGTGATTACATGAGATGTTCATTCATGTTTATTTCACCCGTACTGAAAGTTTCCGGGATGAATGCGTGAACCGTTACACCCCTACTTTAGAAACCTAAAGCTGTGTTGTTTGTAGGTTGTTTCCTCTGCGAGAGCCAGGAGTGAACTACATGGCTGCAGAGCTCACCAAGAAGGAAATCCAAGTAAGTCATGACGATCCCCAACTCTAATAAACCCTGTTCCAGAGACTCTAAACTGTGCTGTGGGACTGAAGCTGGCTCTCGTCCTGTCGTCCGCAGGCCTTCAGGGAGAGCGATGAAGCTAAGAGTCGTCTTCTGGATTCCTACGAGCTCATGCTGGGTTTCTACGGCATGCAGCTGCTGAACAGAGAAACCGGGGAGGTGAAGCGCGCCGAGAACTGGAGGGAGAGATTCGCCAATCTAGAGAGGTGAGGTGACTCCAGCAATCATTAAACATCTTCCTTCAAATCAAACGCTGGCTGTTCATTGCTCTTCTAGTGTACAGAAGAAATCTACTGTTTAGTTTCCAGGCATTCAGTAAGTTCCTCACCAGTACTGGGTCACAGGCCCCTCATCAAAAAAGCGTGCGCATACTTTTTAATACTGTTTTGGATATGGATATGAATCATCTGTGCACTCACAGTAAATGATAGAAGTCATTTGGCAGTTTTGTTTCCTACGAAATATATTCTTCGTCCAGCGCTCCTTTTGTTTCCGTTCTTATAAAATTACGGAGAGGCTATTTACACTGACTCCGCCCATCAACGTGTGATTGAGATTGAGTCAACATTACAAAAGACGCTGGTCAACATCAGCTCCAGTGATGTAGATGGTGAAGTGCGTGCTGTAGTCTTTTTGACGTGATCAACCCTTTTCAAATCTCATATCACATCGGAAAGGCATTTATTTTCAACAAAAATGAAGGAAATAATTGAAAATAAAGTATGGGGTAGGGTTAGAGTCGGTGTAGGGAGGGCTTTATTGTCCCAATAAGGCGGCATCCATTTAATAATTTGAGTTAAAATTATACTCAATACATTATTATTATTATTAGTTTCAGACCATTTGTAAACTCTTTTTACCGATTAGATCAAAATATTAATTGCTTTGTGAATTTGCTATTGCTGATTCTAAACATACGATTGACTGCTGAAATATTATCAGGGAAATGACTCTCGGGTCAGTGTACACCAATCCCATCGACACACGAGCATTTATCAGTAATATTCTCCCAGGGCTCGTGCTCTAGTGACGCCCCAGATCTCAGGCCACTACAACTAAAAACTGTCATAACTTAATTACATTTGATTAGTACCTTTTAGCATGTATGTAACTACATGAGGTGACTATTTAGTGAACATTGGCTGCGAGGTGGCATTATAATAAACTCATTTACTTTACTAATCTCGAGTCACTTGTAACAAAATGTTATCAAAAGAATACAGATGTATTAAACTGTTTAACAGATACAGGCTGATATATTTTGAAGTGTGGCAGATATTGAGTGAGTGGCCTATTTATGTCACAATGTCCAAACTTCACAAAACACATGAAAAACAGGACATTCTGACAAAACATTTCATAATTACAGCCATTTTAAATGATGAACCATTCATACCCATGTGAAGGACAGATGAAGGCTGTAATACTGATTTTGTTCACTAGAGGATAAGAAAACCTTTTAGAGCTCAGTTTAGCATTAGTGTCAATGGTTCAATACAAAATGCAAAGAAATGTATTTCTACAACCATGGTACACAAACATTTACTGAGTTTAATATAATTAGTTTGAAAAGAAAACTGATCTCCAACATGCTTAAATGTATAAATAATTCCTTATTTCATTTTGTGTGTGTATGTATATATATATATATATACACACACACACACACACATTATAAATAATTCCTTATTTCATTTTGTGTGTGTATGTATATATACACACACACACACACACATCCTAATGAAACTGAATATATTGCTTCTCTATGGAGATAGAGAAAATAGAGAGAAAATAGAATTGTATCTGTTAATAAATATCATAATATTTTTTGAAGAGACACTTAAAAACACTTTATGTTTTGAAAAGCTAGATGACAGTTTCATTATCACTAAATTGTCTATATTGGTGCTTGGACCCTGATGATTTCTGATTGCAGTTGTATTTTTTTTTTCGTAATGATAACATTAAAAACATTTTATACAATCATGTTGTTTTTACCATTTTATGCTTTGCATCTGATTTATTAATCACTATTAATGAAACCAGTTTTGTCACCAAACAAATCTGCAGTTTATTGAAGGGCTTTCCAGACAGCATAGTGACTTTCAGACAGAAGTAATTCTGTTGACTCCAAATAAAAAGTGAAAGACGTGCATTTGCTAGAAAAATAAATAATAATAATAACTACATTTCAGAATGACACGTGGGCTGATAGAGTGTATTAGGATGTATTCAAACCTTTTCGCTCTTTCTTTATTTCCAGACAGTCTTTCTCACATGCCACTAAAAATTATTTCACATCTGCTTTCAGAAACATGCACAATAATCTCCGAATCACAAGGATACTCAAGAGCCTGGGAGAGCTGGGTTTTGAGCATTTCCAAGCCCCTCTGGTGCGCTTCTTCCTGGAGGAGACCCTCGTCAGAAAGACCCTCAGCAGCATTAAACGCAGCGTGCTCGACTACTTCCTGTTTGCCGTGCGGGACAAGCGTGAGCGCAGGAAGCTGGTGCGCTTCGCCTTCCAGCACTTTGAGCCCAAAGACAAGTTTGTGTGGTGCCCCAGAAAAATCCAGAAACGCTTCAAGAAGAAGTCTGAGAAGCAGCAGAACTCTTCAGCTGGCAGCGGAGAGAGCGCAGCGCAGGACGAAGGCCATTCACCATACAAAAATAAAGACGGAGAAGCCGCAAGTGAACCAAAACATAGCAAGCCTATCGCTGATCTCACAGATGCAAAGAAGCAAGTCGACAGTGACTCCGTAATGAGAGTTGACTCTGAGAAACACTCTGAGGGCTCTTCAGAAGATCAGGAGCCCAATCCAGACGCTGTTCTCAGTAATGGCTCCAGTGTTAACAACGGAGAGACTGTCAGCGATGAGCCGAGCTGTGCTGAAGGCCAACAGGTCACCCAGAAGCCTGAGCAAGCGGCGGAGGCTTCGGATGCTGGTTGTGAGCGTGTAGCCGGTTCTAGCGCAGGATCAGCAGACTGTGACGACTCTCGGGACGTGACGGACCATCTGCTCTGTGCTGCTGACTCCCAGGAGGAGCATGAAGAAACTGCCTCAGGTACGAGTGAGGACAGGACAGTGACTGACAGCCCTAAACGCAATGCACCAACACAGTCTGAGAAGATTCCCAGGCCTGGCTTGATGATGACGAGCGTCCAATCAGAGAGCCATGAGAAGAACGCAACGAACTGCAACCAGTCGAATGGATCGGAGAAGGAAGAGCCGATGGACATTGTGGACACGAGTTCATGAATGACTCCTGAACACGATAAAGAACTGAAAATCGACAATGTATTTACTTACAAGATGAGATTGTACAAGACTGAGCTGTTTTTTAAAGAAGGGGTTCATTCAAGCACGTTTTCTGTGTGGTGGTTCGGTTATGATGAGGCCAAGTGTACACCTGTCTTGTTATAGCTGTTTTTTTCTAGTTTGAATGTTTATTTGTCCATACTTTCATACTTGCAGTTTTTCCAAGCTTTTTTCTTTTTCTTAAACTGAAACTGTGAAAGAGGAATGTGCATTCAACTAATAAAAAGCAACTATTGATGAGAATATTTAAATAGTAAAAACATAAGAGTTAGGATTCAGCAGATATACTGTATTTTTGCTGATGCAAAACTCTTTCGTGTTTTTAATGATATCCCTGAATTCAAATGAAGGAGCTTGTCTTTTACTAAGCTAATTAAAATTTCTGAGTTCAAAAATGTTCATTTTACATCTGCAGTCATAAACTATAGAAGCATTAATAAGCCCCATGATCAGACGTTGTATAAATCGATCCCTTAGTGATTCTTTGAATGTGCAGCAATGCAGTAACTCCAAATTTATAATTAAAACTCTTCCCACAGTACCATAAATTAACACTTCATGAAGCATTCTAGAATAAATATTTAAAAAAAACATGATTTAATGTTTAAATATTATTTTTCTGTCGTTTTATAATAATAACAATAATTAAATTGTACTTTTTTTTTGCTCATTTGCTGAAGCTCAGTAATAATAAAGGCAGAGGAACTTTAGGAAATAAAGGAAATGTGTATGTTTTGTCAATTTGATGTCTTTAATCCTTTTCCAATTTCATAGTGTTTTAAATCTGTCAAACCTCCTGAGATCAAGCCGTTTAAGAGGAAAGGAGACACAATGGTAATTGGATGAAGTGTTTTGTAGCTCATGCTGAAAATGTGAATGATCTTTGGACTGTTTTCCTAATGCTCACCATCTCACATTGAAATAATGAGTTATTGTTTTTGGACCTACTACAAACACCTGAAGGCTCCAGACCAGCAAACTGCCAAAACATCTGCTTTTATAGAGGCACACTTGCTGATGATCAGTTAATCAAAGACATTTGATTAGCAGAGCCTTATTGAACCATATGTGCAGACATACAGAGGAATTGAAATACCGTTTCTCTTCTCTCTCATCAAGTGTTTAGATTGTCAATGCAATACAGAAGTTTGTATAAAAAATTAAAAAAAATAATAAAATATCTGCAGTCAGTGCAATATAAAACAGATTTTTGTATGCAGGTAACAGCAGTGTACTTTTACTAAACGGATATATATATATATATATATATATATATATAGACCGAGTAAATAAATCTTGCAAAACTTCTGAATGAATATACATGAGTAAATGTAAACAGTGAACTTTGTTAATGTACAAATATATGTCCAAATATATGTAAACAATTTGTAAAGTGCAAATATACATCCAAAATATGTAAACATTTTGAAGTTCTGAGTATAAAGGCATTTGTAAGCTACAAGACAGAGAGCAGCAGTTTGACATTAGTGCAAAAGACTGTAAATTCTGTAAAGTGGTGAGAGTATAAAGTGTCCTTGTGCAATGAAAGAAATGTGGGGTGAACTGTAGATTTTTTAAAGTCCAGGAGTAGGTGGAAGAGGGGGGGAGGTAATGGACAGCCTGATGGACGAAGCTGTTTGAAAGCCTTGTGGAGCGAGCCTGGAGGCTCCGGTACATTTTCCCTGAAGGCAGAAGTCTGAAGTGGAGGTTTAACGGGTGTGAGCTATCAGCAGCGATGCTGATGGCTCTGCTAGTGAGGCGGGGGTGGAAGATGTCCATAAGGGAGGGCAGAGAGACACCGATGATCTTGCTGGCTGCATTCACTATGCGTTGCAGAGTCTTTCGACAGGATGCAGTGCTGCATCCGTACCACACTGTGATGCAGCTGGTGAGGATGCTTTCAATGTTGCCCTGGTAGAAGGAGCACATGATGAGGTGGGACTCGTGCTTTCCTCAGTTCGAGGAGGAAGTAGAGGCGTGACTGAGCCTTCTTGGCCAGCGATGTGGTGTTTGTCATCCAGGAGAGGTCTTCAGAGATATGCACCCCTAGGAACTTGGTGCTGCTCACCCTCTCCACTACGGCACTGTTGATGGTTAGTGGGGGGTGCTGTGGAGGTCTTCTTCTGAAGTCGATAGGCCAACTACAGTCGTGTCATCCACAAACTTGATGATGTGTTTGGTACTGTGACTGGGTACACAATCATGGGTCAACAGGGTGAAGAGCAGCGGGCTGAGTACGCACCCTTGTGGTGCCCCTGTGCTTAGCGTGACGGTCTTAGATGTTTTTCCGCCGACCTGTACATTTTGTGGATAGGAAGTCCAGCACCCAGTTACAAAGAGGGGAGTTGAGTCCCAAGTGTCTCAGTTTGTTTATTAGCTGCTGTGGGATGATTGTGTTAAATGCTGAACTAAAATCCAAGAATAGCATTCGCACATAGGAGTCTTTGGAGTCCAGGTGTGTAAGGGTTGGATGGAGAGCAGCTGAGATGGCATCTTCCGTGGACCTGTTGGTTCTGTATGCAAATTGGAATGGGTCGTGGGAGGGAGGAAGAAAGGATTTTATGTGCTGCATGACCAGTCGCTCAAAGCACTTCATAATGATGGGGGTCAGTGCAACGGGCCGGTAGTCGTTGTGGCTGGATGGGTGCGGCTTCTATGGGACTGGAATTATTGTAGTGGCCTTGAAACACTTGGGGACAACTGTTTGACTCAGTGAGATGTTAAAAATGTCAGTTAGTACATCCTTGAGTTCTTCAGCACAGTCCTTTAGGTATGTTGTCTGGTCCGGCTGCCTTGCGTGGGTTGATCCTCAGGAGGGTTTTTCACGCTGTCTGGGGTCAGACACACAGCCTCCTCGTGTGGGAAAGGTGGTCTCAAATCGGCCAAAGAATTCATTAAGGCAGTTAATCAGATATGTCACTGTCACAGGTCCGTGGTAGGGCTTTATAATTTGTTAGAGTTTTGATGCCTTGCCAGAGACTCTGTGTGTCTCTGGTGTTGCTGAAATGTCCAGATATTTTATTGCTGTATTGTTGTTTTGCTTCCCTGATTCCACGGGACAAGTTGGCTCTTGCTGTTGCTAGGCCTGCAGTGTCACCAGCTCTAAAAGCTGCGTCCCGAGCCCTCAGAAGCTTGTGCACTTCTCCTGTCAGCCGTAGTTTCTGGTTAGCCCGAATAGTGATGGTTTTTCTATGTGTGACGTCATCAGTGCACTTTGAGATGTAAGCAGTAACAGCTTCAGTATATTTCTCTATGTCTGTGTGGTTGTTGTAAGTTGCTGCTTCTTTAAAGATGTCCCAGTCTGTTGTGTCAAAGCAATCTTTAAGGGCAAACTGGGCCCCCTCTGGCCACACACGTACCTCCTTCTTGTTTGGTCTGGTGACTTTCACCTTCGGTCTGTACGCAGGTCTGAGCATGATGGTGATGTGGTCAGAGAGTCCAAGGCGGGGGAGGCTTTGTATGCTTCTTTGCTGTTTGTGTATGCCAAGTCCAATGTATTGTTGCCCCTTGTGGGAAAGTATATGTGCTGATGAAGTTTTCGTAGAAAAGCCTTTAAATCTGCGTGATTAAAGTACCCAGCAGTGATGAGAAATCCGTCCGGGTGTGCTCTCTGTTGCTCGCTGATAGCCTGGTAAAGTTCACTGAGTGCCTCGATTCGTTCGCTGTTGTTAGCGCTGGGGGGTATATAAACAGCGACGAGTAAAATCACTGTAAATTCCCTCGGTAGGTAGAAGGGTCGGCACTTGATAATAATAAACTCTACCAGCGGAGAACAGTGTTTACGAACAACAGCAGCATTTTGGCACCAAGCATCGCTGATATAAACACAAACACCCCCGCCGCGAGTCTTACCTCCCTCAGCACAGACTCGGTCAGCAAGAGCATGTTAGCCCAGCTAGCTGGATAGCGGAGTCCGGTATGTTGTCATTTAACCACGTCTCCGTAAAGATGTAAACACAACATTCTCTCACCTCACGCTGTGCAGATCTTATAAGTTGTATGTGGTCCATTTTATTATCCAGTGATCTTTCATTCGCTAGAATGAGGGATGGTATCGTGGGTCTGTGTGGGCTAGCTGCTAGCCTAGCCTGGATGCCTCTGCGTTTGCCTTGCTTCTGCTTCCTCTCGCAGTGCTTTCGGCGCCTCCTCTCTGGGTGAGGAGCAGCAGGCGAGGTTGGTGTTTTAGTTGGCCAGCGGAATATACCAAGGGCTCGAAGTTCCTCAGATACTGTGTTGTCCAAGATGTGGTTTATTGTCCTTGTTTCAGTTTCCAACAGGAAATGGCGACTGTATCTTACGTGAGACAAAGATGATGGCGAACTATACAAACATGAACGTGAACAAAAAGCACTCGAAAATGCACAATTTAAACTCTGATGTCAGAGAGAGAGGGGCCGCTGCGTCCGTTCACGCCGCCATCTATGTGTCATGTGACATAGTGCGGCCCAGTGGAAAAAAAGGTTGAGAACCACTGCCCTAAACAGTTAGCATCTCTTGATGCAAACAGTACTACTGATTCTGCTACACTCTTACATCTTGTTTAGACACTGTCTGCCCCTTGTCTTCCAGGCCAGCCCTTCCTTAAACCCTTCAATTTGTCTAACTCTCACATGCTCTTTAATACATTTTCCTTCCTCCTTTGTCAACTCTAACAGCTGATGACTTTGCCACATTCGTCATTAATGAGATTACAACCATCAGTGCACAATTCTCCACACAACAAACTGTCACACATCTTACCAGCAAACATACACTCGTTCACATCCTTCTCTCCACTCTCTGAGGCAGAAACTCATCCTTTCTAATCATCCTACTACTTGTCTGCTTGATCCTATTCCATCTCATCTCCTTCAAGCCATTTCTCCTGCAGTTATACCTGCACTCACTCATATCATTAACATATCCCTTCACACTGGTGTTTTTCCCTCAACATTTAGACAGTCTGGCTTCAGAAGTGGACATTCAACCGAGACTGCCTTGCTCTCAGTTGTTGAAGCCCTTAGACTGGCAAGAGCAGCTTCCAAATCTTCATTACTTATCTTGCTGGATCTGTCCGCTGCTTTTACGTTACGTTTTACATGGTTAACCACCAGATCCTCCTGTCAACCCTATTGGCAAAGGGCAGCTCAGGAACCGCACTCCAGTGGTTTGAGTCTTACCTCTCAGATAGGTCCTTCAAGGTATCTTGGAGAGGTGAGGTTTCCAAGTCGCAACATCTAGCTACTGGGGTGCCTCAGGGCTCAGTTCTTGGAAAACTGTTACCTCCTGGTGGAATGACCTGCTCAACTCAATTTGAGCAGCAATTCGAGTCCTTAGCCATCTTCAAGAAACGGCTAAAGATGCATCTCTTCCATCTACATGTGACCTTCTAACACTAACACTCTCTATTCTAATTCTATTTATCTACTTCTTGCCTTTCTATTTATAAAAAAATAAAAATAAACACTTTCTACAGTGCCTTGCGAAAGTATTCAAACCCCTTTATTTTTTCACGTTTTGCAATGTTGCTGCCTTGTTAAACTGCTTTAAATTACTTTTTTCCCCACATTAATCTACACTCCATACACCATATTGACAAAGCAAAAACACAATTGTCACAACTTCATAAATTTATTAAAAATTAAAAAAAAAACTGAAATAAGTACATTGCATAAGTATTCAACTAAATATTAACTGAAGTACCTTTACAGTCTCAAGTCTTTTTTGTTTGATGTGACAAGCTTTGCTCATCAGCATTTGGCAATTATCTGCCATTCTTCTCCTCACCTCTTAAGCTCTGTCAGGTTGGATGGGGGCAGATGCACATTTTCAGGTTTCTCCAGAAATATTTGATTTTGTCACAGGGGTTAAAGCAAAAAAAAATATCCTGAGCCTGAACTTTTTTCTGGGGGTTGCGGGGGCGGGGACACATACACAAGGTTATTTGGCAAACAAAAAAAAGAACATTATTTGAAAATGATTTTTTTTTAACTAACTAGTACCGTATCTGTCATTGCCATTAGCCCTTGGCAGGCTCAGACTACAGATTATGGTGGGATATTTGAACAGCAATACCAAGAAAGTTTACTCACTACAATATGATGCAAACACATGTAACATTTAGGATGCTTTTGATATCAAGTTTTGCTGGTTAGCTTTGTCCTTGACCTACGATGACCTACAATCTAAAACATGAAATTTCTGAAATTGTTTTGTTCAAAACAAAAAATGGTAAATTAAATACTAGGAAATTAATATAAAATAGGAAATATACAAAGACAGTTTACTACAGAAAACTATAGTTCAGTTCAATTAACAACAACAAAAACATTAAAATTGTCCAAGAACTGATAACTTATACAGGGTTCATGCAGATACTGCAAAACAAAATTCCAGGACTTTCAAAGACTTGCACTAATTTTTTTGGTTTTCAAGGACTAAAATCAGATCTCACTTATCAATCAATATTGTTATTATCTTTCAAATTCTAATAAATAAAGTAATAAAACAAAATGGTACAAATAAAGTGCAGCACATGCAAAGAATGCAATGACTGTGGCAACTTTAACATTTGAAAGGATACTATGGCAAAGTTATCACTTTCCTTATTTAAACTGATTTTTTTTTTCATGAATATATGATTGACCTGAAGAATGAAAGCTATATCATACACTTGGAAAATTATGAGCTTTATCACGCTCTTAGACACTAGGGGTGTGACAATACACTTAGCTCACAAGGTGAGACAAAATGCAGATACTTGGTTCACTAGAACGAGACAATAAGTCTGTGACCAGGACCGTAATTTATATGCAAATGTCAAAAGGCTAAAAGGGTCTCTTAAGCCATAAAACCCCAAAGATCATGCATGATTCTACGCAGACGCTACACTCATAACACCTCATTTCAACATTTTATCTGTAGGCCTATTGTGATTTCTCAGCACACTACTGCCAGAATTAGTCCAATTTAGAGATGACATTACATTAAAATGTATCACTGCAATTTCATTTGCAGTGGCAGGTGATGTCCCTCACTCAACATTACAACAATTGAAATAAGCTTTAAGTAAGGCTAACAACACCCTTCAGCCGTGATTTATTCACGAAACAGCACAGCCTCTCGTACCTTATTGCTTTTATAATATGGTTACCACACAATTAAAACATTTTAAAACCAAAATTTTTTGTATTGAAATGTTACTTTTTTTAAGCAAGTTCGTTAAATGCTGTCCTTCCACTAAAAAATAGTTCCTGACAGCAACAGTAAATGGCAAGAGAACGTTCAGAACATGCCTCATCTAATGGAGCTTAAATAAAAACAGAGAATAGGAGCTCTTATCCACTGTGTCATTTTTTTTAACACCATATATGATATTTTTCCAGAGCCGATCCTCCCTATACGCAAAATACGCAAGCTGCGTAGGGCCCCCGAAACACCAGGGGGCCCCCTTGCTCTCAAAGATGATTTAATTTTAGTTTCGTTTTTTAATTTGGCCAGCGGTTATGACAACATGAATGATCATTTCTTTTAATGCGGTGCACTTTCGCCCTTTCTACGTAAAAATCAGTCAAATCATGTAATGTGAATGTGGTACAGTCTTGCTCGAGACTAAAAAAACAAGTTGAAAGCGTACCGAGCCGCGGAAGAGACACTGGCTGTGTTCGAAATAGCATACTTGCTTACTGCTTACTGCTTACTGCCCAGTACACAGTGC